AAGCCGCTTCGTGTGGCCACGTGGAATGTCCGAACGCTCACTGCGGAGGAGAGGCTGCCACTCCTCTGTCGGGAGCTGGACCGGTACTGCCTGGATCTCTGCGGCATTCAGGAGGTCCGGTGGACCGGTTCTGGCTCTTGCCACCATGAGGGGCGGACAGTCCTCTACTCGGGGCAGCAGACTGCCAAATAACAGGGTGTGGCTCTTCTTTTGAACAAAAGAATGAAGGGGGCATGGGAGCGTGGCGGTGAGGTGTGGGAAGCTGTAAGCCCCAGGCTACTTTGGGCTCGCCTTCCCATCAACTGGAGGCGAGAAGTGGTGGTCGTGGTTACTTATGCCACCACTGAAGACGAACATCGGGGGAGGGATGCAGGCAAAGGCGATGAGTCAGATGCCTTCTATGACCTCCTGTCACAGGTGCTGGCTAAAGTGGTCCCTTGGGATAGAGTCATCATGTTGGGTGACTTCAATGTCCGAGTTGGTCATGATGCTGGCACCTGGTCTGGAGTGATTGGAGGGCATGGGCCAGATCAGCTCAAAAACAACGGTAGGAGGCTGCTAGATTTTTGTGCAGCCCATGGGCTTGTAATTACCAACACGCTGTTCCGGCATCGGCGCATCCACACAACATCATGGATGCATGCCGGGTCCAAGCAAGAACATCTGCTGGACTACATAGTCCAGCAATGCGGTTTCAGGAAAGGGCGGTCCTGCACAAATGCCATATTTTCTGTCCGTCTGCTATAGCAGAGGTGAAGGGAATTCCAACAAGACCTACATCTCTGCTTTATTGACCTGGTCAAGGCCTATGATACCATCAGTAGGCCTGGGCTCTGGGTTGTTCTTCGTGCTTTTGGAGTCCCTGAACCTCTGCTCACCATCATTAAGGACCTTAATGATGGTTAGCGGGCCCGGGTAAAACTACGTGGCCGGGAGTCAGAGCCATTCCCTGTACACCTTGGGGTGCGACGGAGATGTCCTCTCGCTCCCACATTATTTAACATCTATTTTGACTACGTAGTTCGTGAAGCCTTCAATAGCTGTACTAGGGGAATCTCCATTTGGTACAGATATAATGGGAGGCAGATCGATGCCCGGGTGCGGTCAAGCGTGCCACTAAGAGATGGGGCCTTACCATTAGCCCCACCAAAACTAAGCACCTGCCTGGGTATTTTGTATAATCGGATACTCCACCCCCACAACTCCCAATCGGTGATGGGGCAGTTGTGGAGAGAGTGGAGAGTTTCCCATATCTGGGCAGTGTGCTTATGACCGGCTCCAGTTTAACAGCAGAGGTCTCACTCCGAATCAGTCGAGCAGCAATATCTTTTCATCGGTTGCGTAATGCTGTGTGGAAGCTACCTGGTCTGTCGCTCCGCACAAAGCTTCAGGTCTTCTCAGCCACGGTCATTCCCTCCCTTCTCTACGCTTGCGAAACGTGGACCCCCCTAATGGAACATCTTCGCCGGTTAGAAACATTTAGGCTAGCCTGCCTACGATCCATCCTGGGTTTAACCAGGCTGGATTGTGTGAGGAGCTCACAAATCCTTGAAAGTTCTGGGCAAGGTCCCATTGGTGAGCTCCTCCGGCAGGCAAGGCTGCGTTGACTGGGTCATGTAGCCCGCATGCCCAGCCACCGCATGCCGAAACAGCTTTTGTTCGGCTGGATCGAGGGGGCAAAACGGGCGCGGCACGGGCTAGAGAAGAGATGGAGTGATGTGGTACAGGAGGACGTGGAGCTGAGTGGACTTGCCGATGACTGGTACCAGCGGAATCAAGATCGGCCTCTGTGGAGGAGGCTCGTGAAGGATGCTACTGGGCAGTTGGAGGCAGTCGCCCTCCAACAACAACGGAGGGGGGAGGAGCGACGCTCACAACAACGAGCGGAGCGCCGGGTGGCTAAAGCACAGCAGGTTGGCACAGTAGGGGGCACAGGTGGTGCATCTGCCAATCATCTCAGTCATGTCAGTCAGTCGACCCGTGGCACCTGGGTCTGCCCCGTGCCCTCCTGCCAGCGGGCATTCGACACTTCACGTGGCCTCAAGGTGCACATGGCCTGGCACAAGCGTCATGGTGACGTCACCGCAACTTAGTGGCGAATGTCGGTTGTTGTTGTGTGCACGTGTGTGTGTGTGCACGTGTGTGTGTGCACGTATGTGTGTGTGCACGTGTGTGTGCGTGTGTGTGTGTGCATGTGTGTGTTTGTGCACGTGTGTGCACATTTGTGTGTGCGCATGTGTGTGTGTGCACGTGTGCACGTGTGCGTGTGTGCGCGTGTGTGTGTGTGCGCACGTGTGTGTGTACGTGTGTGTGTACGTGTGTGTGTACGTGTGTGTGCACGTGTGTACGTGTGTGTGTGCACGTGTGTGTGTGCACGTGTGTGTGTGCACGTGTGTGTGCACGTGTGTACGTGTGTGTGCACGTGTGTGTGTGTGCACGTGTGTGTACGTGTGTGTGCACGTGTGTACGTGTGTGTGTGCACGTGTGTGTGTGTGCACGT